ACCCCTACAAGCTGCGGCAGCCTGGTAGGTACCCATTATAACCCAAAACTCAAAGCATGGGGGGCTGTCTGCGTCTCAAAGTCGTCGCACGTAACGTAGCTTTAAAAGTCTGATGATCACCCTTATCTTTATGGCTAAAGTACTGCTGTTTAGGCAAGCAGCTAAGCTAATTAGGACCATTAGATTCATGTTCGTGAACCAATACCGTTGGAGTTCCTATGCGCCACTTGACACGATAAGGGACTACACCAATCATAGACTGCGACTTCGTACTTCTAGATCGTGGGAGTTCTCTAACACATACCTTGTTATTAGGTCGGTCCGACGTGAGGTCTGTCGGATCCGGCGATCCTCCGTGCATCGATTCGCACACCCGTGGCTTTACTTTTATGATACAACATTGCGTTTGGCTTTGCAAATAATAAAGTGCCCAGAACTTCTTGAGCACAACCCAACTGATCTCGACTCTCGAGTGTCCGAAAGGAATGTGTAAGTATGAAAATTGAAATGAAAAAGAAAAGAAAATAATTTTTTATCCCATTTGGACGTGATTAGCTGAGGATATCACCAATTTTTACTACCAGCGCCCTAATAGGTCCCTTGTGATAAAGTCCGTTCCTTGTATTTAAATGCACATTTATGCTCCCATTTGTTTCACGAAAAATAAATATTTTTAAAAATATTTTTCTAAAATCGATCGCTTGTATCGCTTGAAATAATCAATTAATGAAAAATATTCCAAATATTTTTGTGGACAATGAAAATTTATTCGTATATTCATTTTTGTAAGAGACATAAGAGATTATTTGTAGGATCATTCATTTTCCTCGAAAGAAATAGAGCCTATAGTGCAAAATGAAAGATTCAGAAAATATTTTCCTAAAAACGATCGCTTGTGTCGGTTGAAATAATTGATTAATAGAAAACATTTCCACTATATACAACAATTTATGTCTATATATTTTCGTGGATGGTGAAAATATTTTTCATTCATTCATTTTTGTAAGCAATACAAATTATCATTTTTTGAAGAATATTTTCTATATTATTATTTTTACGAAATAAACCGAGACATGACCCCTAAAAAGAACTCCTAGAAAATAGGAAAGAAAGTTTTTTTTTTGTTGGGTCGGAAGAGAGTTTACGCGTCTCTATTTGGGGCCAGAAATTAAAAATATCAATAAATGCCTACGTACTCAGTGGACCAGATTAAGCAACTTGGATCAGTCAATGCTCTATAAATTAATGAACTCAATATTATATGTGCATAAACAATAGTACATGACTCGGTCACAACCACCACAACAACCAAATAATTAATAATTTGGAAAACATAATACCAATAATAATAAATGCAAGGAGTAATGAGCCATCCTCCCGTATCTATTACGGTTTCTGTCATCCAATTCATAAAGTAATGCCCGATTTGTTTCACGAAAATAAATGATTTGAAATATATTTTGTATCTCTTGAAATAATTAGTCAGTGAAAAATAATTCGATTTTTATCACAATTTACGTTCGTTTCGAAAATATTCTCCTTTGAAAATATTTTTAGATCATTCTGAAAATGTTTAACATAATTTTCCGTGTCGCATCAATAAAAGTTTAAAATATTTTCGCTGCGGCCGCGCCGCGGCGCGGGCCGCGGCGAGGCGGCGGCGCGCGGCGTGCCGAGATCCGGGCCACCGGGGAGAGGAGTTTAAAATCATTTTTTGTCATGTTTTCCTCATTGAGGGAAAATATTTTCGGAAAATGTTTTCTACACGAACAAAATGTTTTTCGAAAACATTTTCCGCCAAACAACACCTTGTTTAAATATTTTGTGACAAAATATTTTCATTTATATATTTTGTAAGAGATACAAACGAATATTTTAAATTTTTTTTTACAAAACATTCATTTTTCGCGAAAAAATGGAATTAAATGTTCGAGGTTTGTAAATATCACCGAGCCATTGTAATTTTTTCTTGTCATGCGACAGGAATTTAGTGTTAGGAAAATCTTAACTGTTTCACGAGTGACTTGCTAATTATGGTTATAAAAAAGTTACTTTTTAAAGATATGTGAGTAATTGCTTCGTTGAATTGTCATACTTAGACATAGTGCATGCGCATCTTTGTCTAATAACTAAGTCATGACCCGAAGTTTTATTGACTTAAAGTTCAAGTGATGGTCGCATGCCGCATGGGGTTAATTTGTAATGATTAGCTGTAAGAAAATCTTGAAGTTTAAAAACCCAAAAAAAGAAAGAAATTGATCATTTATTGATATTATTTTTTGGATGGATTTCGAGCAAGTTTTATTTAATTTTCTTGGAGGGAAAATCAACTTTTATTTTTTGGCTAAAAGCATACATCTAAGTAAAGATGGAAGCAAGGACAAGCTTGAATCAATTGAAAAATAAAGGCAGAATTCTTAGTTCATATTTCATATCAATATAAAACATAGGGACTATTCCTTATTGTCACTATTATATGGCATTGTAATCAATTCTAATAATGAGAGAAAATAATGAAAATTTTTAAAGGAAAGTTATAGAAAGAGTTGAGAAAATATGTTAGAATTTCCAATAATTACTAATTTGTAACCTCAAAATTCCATTAAGACTGAATTTTCTTCTACAGGGGCAAAACTCATGCTATTTAGGCTCTATTTGTTTCATGGAAAATGAATGATTTGAAAAATATTTTTCTAAAAATGATCACTTGTAAAAATGAGTGAACGAAAAATATTTCCATCGTCCATGAAAATATTTAAGTGCATGTTGTCAATAATGAAAATATTTCCATTGACAAATTATTTTGATCGATATAAGTAATCATATTTAGGAAAATACTTTTCGAATTATTCTTTTCTTGCGAAATAAAACGGAATTTTAATGAGGCAAGCACTGATCCTAATTGGAAGCAAAATGAACAGAGAGTACAAGAAAAAAGAACGATCAATCTCTTTTATATTAGAGTCTTGCGTGTCATTTTTAGATACGGCTCTTAAGAAAAAGTTCGTTATTATACATTCATCGAGATCCTAAACAGAACCTCAAACACATCTAACTTTTTGAATCTTGAGTTCATTTATTATGCCCGAATTAATGTCGTTGATGACACATGATGCCAATTTCGTATGATCTTTCTTTGGCCTAGACCAAAATATATGCTGATTTATCTAAAAAGTTCCTCATTGTAGGTTAGAAGAGCAACAGCACAACTATCTACCTATTTGGGCAAAATGGTTGAGAAGAGCAACAACTAACAAACGTCATTTTTGAGACGGAAAATAGAAAAAACTAATGAATGCCATTGATCTTTCATTAAATGCACATTGCACTATAAAAGTACGATTCATATAATTAGATATTACCCTATAAAAGCATCTTACCCTTCCCTAAGAATTACTTTTAAAATTAATATATGGGACTCTTGACAGTGAAGCATTGATCATTCTTCTCGCAAGGGGCAAATATTCTTCTTCTTCTTTTTTTTTTGGCGCTCTTCACTATATTTGCTTGAAAACTATGATGTTGTGCTTGTCTCGCTTAAAAGCATATTCGATATTTATGAGTTTCGTTCGATAAAAGAATGTCGCGAGTTTTAAAGAGTTTTAATGTTATCAACAATTATGAAGATTTTTATCTTACTTGCTCATTGAGTTTAAATGCATATTTGTTTATATGTCACATTAATTTGAAAGCAAAAGATCCATGTCTGGATTAGCTTTTATCTTCTATATTTTTTGGTTAATGTAAAACTAGTAGCTCTATGCCTTTCGAGTTACTTTAGTTAAATATCCTTGAAATTTTGACAACATAATAATGCCGGTACGCAGATTTCCGTACAATTTTTTTCTTTTTAAATTTGTACAGTATTTTTAAATTTTGATGGGAAAGTAAATTTTTTCTGCTCAAACTTTATTCAAAACAAACAGCATCTTACGTCCAATTTACGAGTTTGTTACTCAACAGCTTTTATCATTTTATCTCTTAATTTAAACAAATGAAAGAACGAATAAAAAGGATAAGGTCTTGAAAAAGGATAAGAGAAAAAGGTCCCGAGCATTTTGATCTTCAAATAATATATTATGAAAACCGAAATTATCCCTCCAAAAGGATATGTATTAGTATATTTTCAAGTAATTGATATGCACAATTTCCATTTATTGAATTACCAAGCATCCATGTAAAAGGTAAAATTTCTAAAGGGTAACGAAGTGCCAAATACATAGAAGAGAGACAAAAAAAATAAATATAAAATCTCTGGATAATTATCAAATAATGAAAGTATATACTAATATGATCCATTGAATTATACTATAAGAGGTGAGCACAACAAGCAACACATCACAAAAAATCTCTCATGTTTTTTCTTTTCTCTAAAATTTAGATTCAAATCTCCTTCGTCTTATTGAGGTCTACTTATCTAATACTACTCAATTCTTTCAGCAGACATTTTACTAATTTTTTTTTGCAAACACATGCCCTTAATTTGTCTCTCTTTCTTTTTTTTCTTTCCTTTTCCTTAGACTGGTGGGTTGGTCCTGTGACGACTCTTGATTTGCCACGAGCTGACTCTCACCGCCGAGTCATATCCGATTAGCAAAACCGATCCATGCCTATCTTTAAAAAAAAAGAAACCCCTCAATTTAATAATAGATCACAAGCCTGACGTGCGGTGCAATTTGCAAGACATTGGCTCTTCTCCAAGGTGGTCTGGTCTTGTCCAATGACCGTATATCCAAATTGGTCGTATTCATTACACACTGGTCTACCAAAAGATCGATCAAGATCGGATTTTTCTTGATGCCCTTCATCTACGTTTTCCTGCCATCGAATCGAATTCAACAGATTGCACCTTCGGTTTATTTAATTGATGACGGGATGACCACTCTTTCCAAACTTTACCACCAAGATCAAACCACATAATCACACGTGAATTCCAACAGAAGAAGGGTCAAAGAGAACGCACATTCCCAAGCTTCATCGTCACTCTCCATCGCCATCCCAAAAAATACGGATCCTAGCCTTCACGGCAAGCGCCAGTAAAATTCGTAGCGATCGCCATCGCTACTGTTGCGACTCTTCACTAATCTCGCCGTCGTCTCCGACTCGGACAGAGACTCACTGCTGATCTCTCTCTGTCTATATCTCTACAAAACCCCCCTGCAAATCTCCCACCAAACATTCACTGCCATCGCCCTGGTTCGCTGAGATAGAAAGATTCAGCTCATCCCCTCGTAACTGCTCCCCCACCCACAAGGAAGAAGGCGGAAAAAAAAAATCCTGGGTTTTCCATTTTCCCACAGACCCATCTTCGGAATCGCCGTTCTTGAATCCTCCCGCACCCCGAAACGGAAGAAAGGAAGGAATTTTCGCGTGCCCGTCGTGCTGCATCGCGGTGTCCGTGCGTGGGTGTGTCCGCGTTTGTGAGGGAGGGAGGCAGAGGGAGAGAGAGAGAGAGAGAGAGAGAGGGGCGGATTGGAGTGAAATTGGGTTAGCAGCGACACATGAAGAGGCTAAAGAGCTATTACATGCACCTGAGGCACCCTCAGACGATGGAGCGGAGGTGGATCTTCCCTCTGGCCATCGGCTCGATCGTGTCTCTCTTCCTGCTCTTCCTCACCACGCTGACCTCGCAGGAGGGCGTGCCGTTGTTCCCCTTCTACCGGTCCTCCTCCGCATCGAGCTCCCCCTTCGTCGAAACCAAGCTCCACCCACTCCCCGTCTCCGCCGTACCGCCGCCGCCTCGCTTCGCCTACTTGATCTCCGGCTCGACCGGCGACGGGTCGATGCTCAGGAGGACGTTGATGGCCCTGTACCACCCGCGGAACCAGTACGTTGTCCACTTGGACCTCGAGTCCAAGCCCGAGGAGAGGTTGGATCTGCAGCGTTTCGTGGAGACGCACCCCGTGTTTGCGAAATTTAAGAACGTGAGGATGATTACCAAGGCCAATCTCGTCACTTACAGAGGGCCGACGATGGTGGCTAACACGCTCCATGCCGCGGCTATCTTGTTGAGGGAAGGTGGGGATTGGGATTGGTTCATCAATCTCAGTGCTTCGGATTACCCACTTGTCACTCAAGATGGTGAGTTTTTTTTTGCCTTCTTGTTTTGGTGGGTTTGGATGATGGATTGAGGTTGATCGCAGTTTGGGTTTATGGGGTTAATTATTGGATTTGGTTTTGTGTTTTTGGGTTGATTAGATCTGCTGCATACGTTTTCGTACCTGCCGAGAGATCTTAACTTCATTGATCACACTAGCAACATTGGATGGAAAGAGTGAGTGAACTTGTCTGGCAGTTATTTTTGCTTTAACTTGCATTTCTCGCTCTTTCTATATTTGCTGTTCTTTTCTTGGTGTTTGGTTTGATTTTTGGTAAGTTGATTGATGCTTGTGCATGCTGATTTCTGCAGGTTCCAAAGGGCGAAGCCGATTATTATGGATCCCGGTTTGTACATGACAAAGAAAGCTGATGTTTTCTGGGTTACTCAGAGGAGAAGTGTGCCGACGGCCTTTAAGCTCTTTACAGGTGCGAATTCAATACAATAGGTTACACATTGCGAATTTCGCCATTTGAATTCCTGCATCTTGACGTTGCAATCTGAGCATTTGTAGTCATAGGCTAAAAGTAGTTGTTTTGGATTATTATTGGAATGGTAATTAAAGAGTAAACTGAAGGAGAAGGTTCTTCAAATTGAATTGAATGATGGAAGCGAGAGTTCTGATTGCAAAATGCCTTTTCCTTCATGAATGCATTGGACAAGGTGGAGGTGATGGAAGCATGCATGAGAATTATCTCGTGCAAAATAACAGGTGTTAGTTTGCAATATGTGTATACTGCGAAGCGAATATGGATGATGACTGTTCTGTAGTTCGAAAGTGAAGAGGGATGATGAACAATTATGACATCGCAATGAGGACACGTTCATATTTTGAACTTTGAGGTGTTAAACAAAGTTCTGCAGTGAAGAAAGCAGTCATCGTCCTTTCTATTACTAGTCAAAATTTACATCGAGAGGTGACAATTTTTTACTTGACATGACAACACAGCTTAAACACGGCAGGAAGAACATGAAAAACATTTTGAGAGCAGCTCAAACTAGACATGATTAAGTTGACATGACATGAGAGCTTTTGATATGTTTCCAAAAGGCAGGAATATCGACACTAACATGGTGACCCGACATGAACAGCTACCCCTATTTGAATCGTAGATATTACTTGCACATTCCCTTTGTTCAACAGTTGAGAGAATTTCCCTTTGCACTTTTTGATCTAGTTTTTGCGGTAATTCGCTGTTCACTTGGGCAATCCTGGAATTTCAAAAGACTTCTGTTGCTGCTCGCTGAAGTCTGAGCTAGCTTGGCTGCCACTCTTCAATCAGGATCAGCCAACTTTAATTGTTTCCTAACTTGAGAGTGAGGAGACAGCAAATTTGGTGGGCTTGAACATAGATCAGTGCTTTGGACAGTATCGTAGTTCCAATGATTCCTTCTGATCAGTATCAGTACTAGGAAGATCTCTGCCATCCTATCCTTGTAAGGTGTTCGAAGTGTCTTACTTGCTAGTCTTCTGGAAGCACAGAGTACATGCTTGTTGATAATTATAGCCAAAGGAACAAATATTCTTTAGGGTCTAAAAGGGATGGAGGAGACAAGGATACTGCTTGTGAGATGTTGATGCCTTGCTTACAGCAGTTGCTTTGGTTGATGCTGGAAAGTGAGGACCTGTCTCACTGCAAAACATGTGGTTTCAGTGTTGGGCTTTCAATATCAGCTTGTGTAGGGGGAAGTTGGCAAGTAGTAATTGGCCCATTGTGGAACAATTGGAGGGGTAAATAACGATATCTTCTCACTAATAAAAGAACCAATCCTTATTAGCAGCAGGGGAACTAGCCGTAGCATGAATTATTATGTATTATAGGGGTTGTGCTAGGTGTCAAAAGCCATTATTGATGAGTTAGTTTATCCTTCTCTCTTATTTAGGTTGTTGTAGTTCTAGTACGCTTTCAAGAATCCGTTATCTACTTGCCCTATAATAGTCTTTAGCTGCTTATGTTTTGCATTACAAATCAATTGCTGCTTTGGCTACAATTTATTCAAATGAACTTTGCTGGCATTAGCTTATGTATATGCTTATAATAGCATGAAAATATGTTTTTAGGTTCTCAAAAAACTGTTTGATTTTAGCAGTATCCTTAATTGTGTGAGGATAGATTTGATTGCCTAGGACATATTTGCCAAAAATCAGAGGGCTATGTCTTGTTGTTCATGGCAGCTTTCGTGATTGCAATAACTTAGGGAGATGGAGGATATGTTGCTTATAATTTGTCCCCAAGATGCACAAGTTGGGAAGGTATAAGTGGATCTTAAAGGTAGCAGAGAGACTGGATAGGAGGCTATAATAGGGGGATGTGAATGGAGAAGTCCCTGCGTTGGAAAACATTTTTATAAAATCCCCAGTGAAGTCTAAATGAGGCGCTGAAACTTCATTACGAAAACAACATGAATTAGATGAGTAATTAATCTTCCTGTGGGACTCTAGCAGTTTTATTGTCTTGTTTTGTTGCCTGTGGTCATGTTGGTGCAGCAATAGTAACTCAAGGATTCATATTCATCTCGTCTGGGATATTCCCTGGCTTCTACATGCTTAACTTGAAGGTTTACCTAATTTACCGCACGTCGTGTTAAAGAATTGGGTCTACATGTTTAACAAGTGAATGCTACATTTATTCATTGGAGTGCTAAATCCCATAAATCTAAAGTAAGATGGCCAGACCTAGGCCTCTTCACTTTCACGGCACTTCTTCTCTCTCCCACATTCTTCATAAGTAGCTGCCTATGCCACACTTTTCTAATTTACCTACAAATCAATTGTTTTTTAAGTCTGGTAGAAACATTAAGTAGAGTTCAGAATTAGTCAATCGACTAAGAATGTTGATAGCCCTGTCATCGCCAGAGAACTTTGGTTCATTGAGTATATTATTATTGGTTGATCTATCTGTTTAAAAGCACAGTAAAAACTTTTCTTGGTTATATATGTTTATGTAGACTAACGATGTTGGTCAATCTCCATGTCACACCCGGTTTGAAAGTTTATGAAGGCATAGTCTCTGGACAATGTGTTGGTTACACACACTTATACAATCTGTGCAAGGACATGCTGTTATGCACGGAAAGTGTTGGCTGTGATTTTAGTTTAGTAGCAGTTTGATCATATGTTTTTCTCTCCTTGCAGGGTCTGCTTGGATGGCTCTGACCCGACCCTTCATTGATTACTGCATATGGGGATGGGACAACCTACCACGTACCGTTCTCATGTACTATGCCAACTTCATATCGTCTCCAGAAGGCTATTTTCACACTGTGATCTGCAATGCGCAAGAGTTTCGTAACACCACTGTGAACAGCGACCTCCACTTCATATCGTGGGACAATCCTCCGAAGCAGCATCCCCATTATCTCAACCTCGCCGATATGCAGAAGATGATCAATAGCAACGCTCCTTTTGCGAGGAAGTTCCCCCGAAACGATCCGGTGCTCGATAAGATTGATTCCGAGCTGTTGTCTCGTGGGCCCGACATGCTCGTTCCTGGTGGTTGGTGCATTGGGAGCAGAGAGAACGGGAGTGATCCATGCTCCGTTGCTGGTGAGCCCATGGTTCTCCGGCCAAGCCCAGGAGCAAAGAGGATTGAGAAGCTGATCAGCACTCTGTTGTCAAGTGAGAATTTTCGACCTAGACAGTGCAAGTAGCAAGAAATGACAACTTATGCAGTGATCATTCAAACTGAGCTTAGGTCGATACAAGAGGGAACAAAATACAAAAGGTCATGATCAGGTGATTATATTTCATTGGCGGGTGGAAGCTTTGGATTACAATGTATATGCGGTTGGTATTACAGAAGTGAATTCAGTCGTCGGTTAGGATGCTTGGGATTTACTTCGCAATGCTTCTGCTGGAAACTCAACAGACTAACCGTCTTCGACCATATAGCCGATTTTACCACTTTGCTTCTCCTTTTCAAATTGTATTTAGTGATCCGTTTCCCCATTCTGAATCGAAGCTTATTTTTGGGCTGATGGTGTATGAAACATTCGTGGATGAAAATCGAAGAATCGAAATTGGTATAATTTATTCACAACTTTGTTGTTTTCACTTATTTTTTCTGCAGTTGCGCAGATCGTCCCGACTTCTAAGCTGCCGGTCATTGGCATCGATGCTCCGTGGCTATGTGATCACTCTAAAGGTGATTGAACTTCTTGTTACACAGGGCAAAAGATTGAAGCCTCATCTTTTCCTCTCTCTCTTTTGGGTTAATGCGCGCAGAAACTTGGATAGCCTTCTGTGATGATCGTCTCTTGTATTGAAACCTGATGCAAGAAATTTGCTGGAAAAAAAATAAAAAAATTGATGATCATCTCTTTAGTAAAATTGGGTTTCCCCATGTATTGGATATGTATGCGAATTTTTCGTGTAGGGGTGAGCATGCGGACACGAAGCCGTTGACATGAAGCAGGATCATACCGCATTAACATGGTGGGAGCGAAAGTTTCAAACCAAACCAAGCTAATTTGGAGCGTGTAAATCGGCTCTGTTTTCTTTCTTCGCGGTTCATTATCTTCTGCTTTTGCAACTAAACCAGATAAAACTGAACAGGGTTCAAGTGAAATACAGCAAACTACCATCACAAATGCCACTACTATGGAAGCCCGAGATTGGGTTCATCGGCTCAATCTTGTTCAATGAAAGCCGACCAAGAACATTTCGCCGGCCTTCACGGGGTCTGGCAGTTCATTCGTATCCATTTACATCGAATAACGGTCGGAAGACATTAATCCTCACTCCTTATAGTGGCTCGAAGATAATATGAATATTTGGTGATTCGAACTCAGACAAGACAGACGAGTACACAATACATTTTTCTGTACGCAACACAATACTCGAGAAGGTCTACGGTCCCTTCTTTCTTTCCCGTTCCTCTTGTTTCCCTTTCCTTTGCTTAGCAGAAACACACGCATTTTTCTTGTTTTAGAAGCAAAGCACCTTTCTCCTCGTGACGCCTAATGGTTCATGGACAAACATGTCTGGCCCGGTAAAGTTGTTGTAATAGTGACATGACCTCCTCATTCTCGAAACAAGAAACCCATAGTTATAGTTCGGTACAAGTCACTTTATTAACTAATTTTGCATAGCGATCTTTGTATTTCTAGCATCGCTCATATTCAATTTGGAATTGAAGTTTGGAAAAGAATAAATTGAATGTATACAGTTTTTTTTTTGGTTGAAAGAAAGATTATATTCATCATAATAATATCCGAGAGGTACATAGAAGGCATACAAGCATAGCAAATCCCAAACAACTGCGGAACGGAGTAAATATTAGAACGCAAATAACAAAGCACAAAGCACAATTTGTAACTAAAAGCATACTCTCATCTCTAAAGAACATATATGCCACTGTAAATGCTTGGCGGCTGATCATCAGATTTAGTGATGAGCACACACCGAGATTTAATGCAGCCTGGTGTAGGCTACTCGAATGTTAGGATCGGGAGAGTGACTTGACACGCGGAACAGGACGAACAATAATTACAGTCCTGCGCAAACTCGGAAAATGGATGTAACTTCATCGACATAGATCGGAATGACCTGATTCCAAAGCCAAATGAACAAAGACTTCTGGATTGACAATTTCTCTGTTTTGATTTTTCTCAAATAAGCACTGTAGGAAGGACGAAATCAGGGTGGAAGTGGACGGATGTAAATGGACAGAACAGAGGAAAAGATAGAACTTCGTTGGTTGCTCTTCCAGGCCTCCAAGGAAGTGGATAGGGCACCGATTCTTCTAGATCGATGACTGCAACTTTTCAAGGATGCAGATTTGAAAACCTTCGACTCTTCAAGGACGGAGTGAAAAACTCTTTTAGATTTTTAGGGGTATGAACTCTTCAAGGTTAAGATAATTGCTTGATGCAAAATTTTCAATAATCAAATTCGTCTGCCATTTACAGAAATTTGATGGCCTTTTAACCAAAGAAAGAAAAGCAAACACATAGGAAAATACTAAAGTCAAAACCTATAAACTATAAAGCATTAAAGAACATAGAAACTAGAAAACATTACAGATCATCGAAACTAGAAGCTATTAAGAGCAAAACATTTTCCAACATCTTCATGGTTGTCCCAAGGTGTCTCCTCAAGCGTTTGTGTTCGGCAACTTTCGATGAGCTTTAATGCGGGCTGATCTTCTTGGCCGAGTGAGCTGGTCTTCAATGCGGATTGCATCAAGATCCCTCACTCCATTTGCAACGACTTGCGGTGCGTGTCTAGATTCAACGTTTTCGTCACCATCATCATGCAGAGAGACACTAACATCAATATGTTGAAAAAATATAAATTAAATACCTGTAAGGAACTCTCAGATCTAAATCTAAATCTAAATCGGGAGAGTAAAATCCCCATATCTATACCTAAATCTAAATCGGGAGAGAAGAGCGGCATAATCTCGGAAGGATTATGGAGCCACGTCACGAACATCTTCTTTGATGGTTGTCGACTAGATGAATGGCCGAACTAGACTTCACGTTCACCCAAGATTAGCTGCAGAAATTTATTCACACACGCAATCTTCCAAAATAGATCAGGAGAGAAAAGAAAATACGATCAAAGCAAAGAAAAGAAAATCAAAGGCTAAGTAGGCTCTTAGATTCAGAAAGCTGAGAGCTTACAGGAGAGCTTCAAAAGAGGGAAGAGTTTTTGGGAGATGAAATTACATGCCTTGGGAGATGAAGGGGTTACTGAATGTATAGAGTTAAAACTAGCTCTAATGCCACATCCCGTACAAATGGAAGGATAGTACGATCTAAAAATATTATATAATATAATAAGCTCGCTAACAAAAGATATGGAACTTTTAACATAGAATATTTTCTTAAGGAAACCGACTTAGTTAGATTTTTAGTTTATATACTTTCTTTTTCTTAGTCCTAATGACGAGATCCATCGTTTTATCATCGATCGATATATATGCACTTAAAAATAAATTGAGTGTATTCCTGCGAGTCTCCACATTCTGAAGATCAGATTGGAGGAAAGGTGGTGTACGAGAATATATGAATGGAACTTCTTCAGTACTTCACTACCAAATGTTGACCTCACATCACGCATGAAATTAGCCCAGCTTGATGAAACATTAAACATAAACTAACAGAGATGCATTTTAAATTAGCAAACATTTCCACTGTCAAAAGATAGTTAGCCTGTTCATGCATAGGCATAGCCCATTAAAAAAGCATGCAAATTTTGAGCTACCTAGGCTCAACAAAATTGCCATGCATAACAATCAAAATTAATTATGACCTTCGAAATTGAGATACCAAATAATGAAACCAACAACTGAACGGTACAAGAAGAAACTCGCACACTATGCAATCCAACTAAATACTCGAACAATCCACCCTTATCATCTATTCTACAGATCACACCGCATATATATCTCTTATTGTTGGAATACTACTTTTATGGATCGTAACTCAACCAAGCTTGGTCATAGCAGGGCCAGTAAAAGCATTAGTAGTATGGCGAACTGGCATTCGTCGCCTACACCAGAAAGGAAAAATACATAGGCCAGATCTCAGGAGAAAACATCTTGTATCAGACGCGCGTTGTAAGGAGAGAGAGAGAGAGAGAGAGAGAGAGAGAGAGAGAGAGAGAGAGAGAGAGAGAGAGAGAGAGAGAGAGAGAGAGAGAGAGAGAGAGAGAGAGAGAGATGGACCGAGCCAGAATAAAGATGAATCATGCAATAACTTCTCGAGGTTAAAGGGTCTTTTGTCGCGAAGAGATGGCACTTGTAGCTATTCCAAGCCAACATATCAAAAGGCACATGCAATATAACAATGCATGCACAAGCAATAGCTCTAGGCACCATCTCTCCCACGACAAAAGCTCCTATTAAGCTCTAATCAGTGCTCTCCTTTCTCTCTCTTTTTCTTCTGGGGGGAACAAACCCCTAAAAACTCTCCAGATGTATCTATCTCTACACAACACAATCTGTATCTGTCTCACCTTATATAGAGCTCTCAGGAGGATAGTTCCGTCCTTTTGTTTCTTCTTTAATTTGGGTGATAGAGATTGAAGAAAATAAAGGGGGAGAGAACTTGTTCTCTTGGCGAAAATGCTTCCATCATCATCATCAGCATCAGCATCATCATCCCGTTCTCATCAGTAAAAAGATTCTTTGCTGGGGCCATTCACATTTTATGTTGGATTCATTGTTACTACAGTCAAAGTAGACATAAAACTGGAGTCATATCCACATACGTTGTAACCACCACAATCAAACTCTAATTAATCATTTGTAGGAATGACTTAATTTCGCTCTGAGCGCAGCATCACAAATGTGGTATCTCCAATCTCAAAATTATGTTTTAGTCACCACGACTATAGAATAGAATTGAATACATACAATGAAAATGACCTTTATAGGTATAACCTTTTAGAAAATATCATAATTATAGACTGTCCGATTCTCTTGTCTCGAGTCGAGTGACGAGTGCGATCGCAGCTTGCTCTGCTCAGATTGAAACTAAATTCAAACAAACTAAAGAGACATGCATATGTATTGAAACTAACAAAACATTCGGTACTAAACGGATACAAAGATTCTCATGTTTATTCTTTTCAAGTCGTGACTAGGCAAATTGATTATCGGACTAGTAATAAAAATGCGACACGAAGTGCCCACTTTCTCTTCCTATGAATTACATCGAGTTGGAGATGGGATTATGAGACCCAAAACTTTGACCTAATGTCTGGCCAAAGGATGAGGGGGACAAACCTCTTGGACTTAGTAAAAAGAAGGGCAAGATGACGACTTTTGTTGCGGGTCACATGTTGAGGAAGATCCAGAAGATTGGAAAAGTAGATATTGAATTCAAACAGCTAGCCAACAAGCATATGATGATTTTGATGGAAATTACAAATGAATGAGTGATCAAGTTGTAAAAAAGGGAATCTTAGTCAAACACATAGTGTCCTCGGTGGGCTCTTGTTCAAAATGCCATGCATTAGATTCCTGTGTGGGGGCATTTGTTTTTAAAAGAGGGTTAAGATCATGTTTCCACTTTAGATATGATATCGTAC